AAAAGGTATAAGTCAAACATGAAATCCCATCTTTTCTCTCTGTATTATACTTGTTTGTCTTCTGTTTCTTTTCCTAAAACTCCAGGTGAAGCATTATCTCACCCTGAATGGAGGCAAGCAATAACTGACGAGATGTGTGCTCTTCAAAGCAGTGGTACCGAAGAACTGGCTCCTCTACCCCTTGGAAAATCTATGGTAGGTTGTCCTTTGGCTTAATACTGTAAAGGTTCGTCCAGATGGTAAGATTGATCGATTTAAAGCTCGCTTGGTAGCCAAAGGATACACTCATATTTTTTAGTTGGATTATAATGATACTTTCTCACCTGTAATCATAATGGCATCAATTAGTTAGATTTCTTCTCGCCATTGCAGTCAACATTAGCCTCCCACATCAACCTGACATCAAAAGTGCATTTTACATGGTGATCTTGAACAGGAAGTATATACAGAGCAAGCAACCACCTGGGTTTGTTGCTCAGGGGGAGTCATCAACTACGGTTTGTCGGCTAGATAGATTTCTCTATGGTCTTAAGCAATCTAGAACTTGATTTGCCAGATTCAACATCGTAGTACAACAATTTGGTATGGTTCATAGTGAAGTCAATTATTCTGTTTTTTATCGTCACTCAACCCAAAGATGTATTTATCTTATTGTGTACGTAAATGATATTGTCACAACTGATAGTGATCAGCAAAGAATAATCCGGTTGAAACAACTTTCGAATCAATTTTAGAAGAAAGACCTTGATAAATTCCGCTATTTTTGGGTATTGAGGTAGTTCATTCTAAAGATGGTTTGGTAATTTCTCAGCGGAAATATGATATGGATATTTTGGAAGAAATGGGTTTGTTAAACACTAAACTAATTGACACTCCTATAGATCCAAGTGTTAAACTCTTACCCAATCAGGAGGAGTCTCTATATGATTCAGGAAGGTATAAGAGATTGGTTGGAAAATTAAATTATCTCGCATTCACTCGTCCAGAAAAATTCTTAAATTTCCTGGCCAAGAACACATAATGCTATTATCTGAATTTTGAGATACATCATAGGTGTTCCAGAAAAATGTCTCATTTATGATGATAAAGAACTAAACATACTTAGATAGTTAGATATTCTGATGCTCATTGGGCAGGCACACCAAGTGATAGAATATAATCCACCTATGGGTATTGTGTACTTGTCGAAAGAAACCTAATATCCTGTAAAAGTAAAAAACAAAATGTAGTTGCAGGATCAAGTGTAGAGGCAGAACATAAGGTTATGACACTGGTAACATGTGAGCTTGTTTGGTTGAAGCAGTTGCTCAAAGAATTTCAATTTGAAAAGGCAAGACCAATGACACTTATTTGTGATAACCAAGTTGCATTACATATTATGAGAGGACCGAACATATTGAGATAGATCGTTATTTTGTCAGAGAAAAGATTGAATCAGGCAACATTGTCATAAGCTTTGCCAACTCTACTGATCAATCGACATATGTGTTCACAAAATTCCTATGAGGTCCAAGAACTAATTATATATGCGGTAAGCTTAGTGCATTTGACTTATATGCTCAAGATTGAGAAGGAGCGTTGATATTTGTATATATAAAATATTCCATAGAATATTCCTTAGCCTATCTAGATTAGAATAGAATATATCATAACATATTTCTTATGTAATTAATGCAATGAGTAATATATTTTACTATATAATACAATTCCCGTAGTGCTATTCAGACACATATTTTATTCAAATGTCACAATCTCTCGTATTTCAAGACATCATCTACTGATCTCCACCCTTTGTGACATATCATGACAACCATCTGCCAATGATTCTTGGACAGTAATTCAGGAATTGATATCTCACTTATTTATGGTAGCATTCATGATTCTTACCTGTTGTATATATAGGAATAGGAATTAATGGTAGGAACTAATTGTTAGCTTAGTGTATCTTCTTTCTATTGTGTATATGTATATACTATGTAACACATTATACAACAAGGGAAATAAAAATAATATTTCATAATAAAAATTAAGAAACATGTATTAGTTATAATAAGACCAAAAGTCGGCAAAAATTTTAGGATGAATTTATGCTCTGCACTTACCTCCTTACCTCCTTGAGACCATACCACTCATACATGCCCTCAAAACCTTTTGCTACGTTTCCTACATGTCCATTTAGATCCTCTTTAAAAAAAATATTCTCTCCTTAGGATATATCCTGAAACAAGTCTTCTAAATCCTCTCAAAATTTTATTTTAATGTGTTTTGTTAATCCAACCTGAGGTAAGTGGATAATCATTAATAACATTAAAGGTATCTTGTTTCATTTCACTACAAATTTTAAAGTTATGATTTTATCTCCTACTCTTTTTACATTCACAATATCATTCTTCCACTCCTCATGTACAATAATCCTCACCCCATTTTTCGATTTAACTTTGCATGTAAACTAAAACCTTAAATCCCCATTTTTCGATTTAACTATGCATGTGAACTAAAACCTTAAATCATAAACTGTCTAATTCTTTCACCTTTTCACCTGTTCATTTAGTTTTTTGTAGACACATAAAATTGATCTTCCTTATAACTATAGTGTCCTTTATTTCTATAGATTTTTCAGTAAGTGTGCCTATATTCCATGTTCTTAAACAAATGCTACTCTCATGAACTAACTTTTTTACTCATACCCATTAACGAAAAATGTAAGAACCTTGCATATTTTTCACTGCATTCAGGCGGCAACCCGACGTCCCATGCTCATTTGACATTGTAATTCTGCCATACACGTAAATTTCGGATAACGATCTAACATTCAGATTATTACATATTTGATCAAGTCATACAAATTCAACAAAGTTTTACATTAATTTACGACTATCTAACACAACCCTCTACTTTTATCTGGATTTGGAACCGGTTATATATAACAAAACTAACCAATACAAAATTTGAATAAAAACTATTTACAGAAATAAATAACGTTCATGAAATGGTTTTGGAAAAGAGGAAAGACAATTTTGTACTCTTGCTTGAATTAACCTTTTTTATCACATGCATAGAATGTTTACAAGAAAACTACACATTACACCGGTAGTTTCTCCATTCTATTTTGTTAGACTTTAAGAACTATTAAAAACCAAAACTGAATGTGGATGTTAGTTTCTGTCAAGTAGCCGTTGCAGGCATAGGAAACAGCCATTATAAATGTTATTTGTAACGGTTGCAAAGCAGCCATTAGTATTATTAGGGTAATTATTATTACTATTAGCAGTTATAAAACTTGGGTAAAATAAGAATGGAACACAACCATGGTCTGAGCATGTTTAAAATTAAAAAGAGTTTATATTTGAGAGGGAGAGACCAAGTTCTGGAACTTTTGGAAGGAAGAGAATCAAGACTCTCGAATTGTTTGGAAACACATTGTAATTACTATTAAATTTTATTGTTTGGTATCAGTTTCTATCAATTGGTATAAGAGCATTACGATCTTAAGTTGATGGTTGTTACTATAAACGAGATGGAGGCACGTATGGAACTGTTAGAACATGGGTTTAAAGCGATGTTAGCAATGAAAGAAACAATGCAAAAAAGACAGCGTGGGGCGAATGGATGTTAGACGACAAATGACAAAATTAGTCAAAAAAGTTTGTCGCACGAGGCACCAAAGTCCAGTAGGATCACGACACAACGAGGACCAAATTGATGAAGAGGATGCATCTCTGAATCACCAACATCCCTGGTCTTGCAAAGAAAGATGGCAAAAATTGGAAATTCCAATTTTAGAAGGTACTGATGCATACAGTTTATTGAACCGTGTCAAGCGTTATTTTGACCTGAAGCGAGTGGATGAAACAGAGAGACTGCAGGCAGTGATGGTAGCCATGGAGGGCAAAGCACTTGCATGGTATCAATGGTGGGAGGAATTCAAAACAGTCATACTTAAACGTTTTCAACCCTCAATGATCTAAAGTCCCTTTGAATTGTTGCCGAGTCTCAAACAAACAGGAACAATGGAAGAATATAGAGTGTTCATCGTTTTGTATAACCTATCTACAAAACCCTCCCTTCTCCTCCCTTTGATATATTTTAATTTCAAAACCCTCCCTTTTCCTCCCTTCCAAACTCTCAGACAAAACCTATCAATTTTAGTATGGTTCTAAATGGTGATTGCAGTAGCAGTTTCGTATCGAACCTTGATATTGCATCAAATCAATACAATTGAGATGCCTTCGAGGAGACCATTATAGTAAGACCATGATAGCTATAGGTTCTACTCTTTATATACTAATAGTACTAATCTGTTAGTTTTTCTATGTATAGCCGGTCCCAAACCCGGATAAAAGGAGAAGGTAGTGTTTGGCCATCGACAATCAATGTACTAATATAACTTTATTAAATCTTTATGACATTGATCAACATATATACTAATACTACTTCTTTTAAAGTTGATGTCTCAAACTACGTCCCCAGCTTGCAATTTCTTTCTGTGACAATTTGAAAACTAACTTCTCTTCTCTCTATAAGCACATGAATTCAACTTTATTATCTACTTAACCTTAATAAAATATTTGCAAAAAATTATCAGATAGAACAGTCATCTCTGGATCGCTAAACAACACAATGAACATTGATATTTTTGCCAAGAGAAAGATGACAAGTTTAGCACAAAAGAAAATGGAATTGCCTAACTATGTAAAATCTAGAATAAACTCTAGCATTAACCCTACATAGCATATGTGACTAAAATGAACGGAATGACACGAAATAAAATGGAACGGGCCGAAATGAAGATTTAATTTTATTGTTTGAAAATTTTAGGACGGAGCAAGGAAAATTCTTAATTCCTTGTGATGGAATGGAATTCATATCAGTTTCATTCCTTTCCGCTCTATTTCTGCCATCAATCCAATCAAAGTCTAAACATGTGATTAAATTCAACCATATTCATTTTATCAAAATAGCAATACAATTAAACAATTCAAAATCTCAATATTCTTACCTCAAATTGAAACACTGAAATTGAGAAAATGCAAGGTGAACAAAGCTTCCAGAACACCAAGGCACGCTCCGAAGCCCACATCGAGAACATAATGCCTTCCAAGAACAACCCTAGAAACAACCGTCGTCAGAGCCCAAGACCAGACCATGGCAACCAACAGATTAACTGCCATAGCTTCGTCTCCTCTGATCCACCTGTGAACGAGCAACGCGAACCGCGGATGGCTAGAATCAGCGACAGCTTCAACGATCCGAGCGCGGGAGAGTGAAAAGATTGCGGCGATGAAACATACTCTGGAAGAGTGGCCGCTAGGGAAGGAGAATTTATCAACAGGAACTACGGCGTTGTAGTCGCCGTGAATGGCGTAGGAAGGGCGAGGTCTGCGGACTAGGAACTTGAGGAAACCTATGAAGATGAGATCGAGGAGGGAACAGAGGATGAGAGGGAGGAGGAGGTGGGGACGGAGCGGAGAGTGAGAGGGAGTGGCGAAGAAGAGTGAGAGTGTTACGGGGAAGAATAGACGGAAATCCGCAAGGTGTTCTAGGGAGCGTAGGAGGGGTTTAGGGGCGAGGGGGCTTGTGAAAGTGTGGATGTAGCGGGAGATGCCGTCGTCGAGATATGCGATGCGGCGGAATAACGGTGGGGCTACGGTTGTGGATTTGGGTGGTTTACGGCCCATTGCAGTCGTTGACCTATTCTGAAAGAGGTGGCTGTTACGGGTTGGACATGTGTTCTAACGAACCTAAGCGTTTAGGAACGACGCCGTTTTCTGGTTTATTATTATTTTTACACTTTTTACATGGAGTAAATAAACAAATTGCTTTTTAGATTGTACAGAGCAAAATTTAATAAATTAAGAAATGGAAAATTACACTCAATTTTTTAAAAATCAACTAAAATTATACATTTACTCTAATTTTAATTTTAAAACATGCACTAACCTTCTTGAGTCATACCCCCTCTACTTTTTAGTCAAAGTTAAAAATTGTAGGTATAAATAATATTTACTTATGATTTTTATTTATCAATAAAAGTTATCATTGATACATATAAATTTATTGAAAATTAATGCATATTTTAAAATTATAGAAGGTATTTATGTAATTTCAATTAACTTTAGGAGAAGTGAGTATAATTTCTCTATTAAAGAAAGAATTAAAGTTCTAAATTTTAAGTTATGAAGATGATGATATCTAACTAATAAATTTATTAGAGATTTTTTTATTTAATCTTTTATATCTTCTAATATTTCAATGAGATTTCATTAGAAAGTTTAACTAAATAATAATTTTAAAAATTATAATTGTGACGTTAAGTTAATTTTATTAGTAATTGTACAATAACATCAGATAAAGAGACGCAAGACTACTTGACAATAAAATTATAATCAATATAAATTTTACTTTTAATTTAATATATAAAATATTTAATCAATAATTTCTATTATTGCTACGTGATTCATTTGAATCTTATTTTTAAGGTTTACATAGGTCTGGAAATTTATGAGTCGTGTATGGTGGCCTAATAGAAATATGTGAATTTAAATTGTTAGGTTTAATTATAAGGATAAAGAAGATACGCATAGGAGAAATTGTAGGATAAGTTGGCAGTCATAAAGTAAAAGACGAGTAATATGTCTTTTGAAAATGACATATTAAAGTTGGTAAAATTTGTTGTCGTCTTTTGAAAATGACATATTAAAGTTGGTAAAATTTGTTGTTTATGTGATAAGTAAAGGGTCAAAAGAAGCTCTTCAAGGAGGATAAATATTTGAGAATTAATGCTAAAAGTTTGAAGAAAAATTACAAGAAGGTTGGTGTTGATATTATAGATCAATGACTCAAAATTGAGGAATCTAAAGCCGAAGAAGCTAAACTAAGAAATGATAACTTATTCTTAGAAAGGAAATTCAAAGATCTAAAGGTGAAGAACTCATATCTACAAGAAAAGGTTGAAAACTTGAAAAAGATCGATCTTGAGCTCAAAAATACTAATGGTGTGCTTGAACGAAACATTTTAACGATATAAGGTAATTTTTTGAGAAATTTTAAAATGACTCTGCCAAAATCTATTGTTTGAATAAAAAAATATAGATAATTGTCAAAATGATGTAAATTTATGAAATATTTTATTCAAGTTAAATTTATGGGATTTCAAATGACACCAAAAAATAAGAAATTTGGAATTCTACTTTTATTCTATATAATACAAATGTTAAATTATTTAGTATTAATTTTTTATAATTTGCAAGATTGTCTTCTTATTTTATGAAATTTTCAAATTCACCTCAAAACTTTCAAAAAAATGCAAATAAGTCCCTAACAATATTTAAATTTTACAAATCGGTCCCTTCAAATTTTCAAAAATTACAAATTGATCCATATTTTTCATCTTTTAAATTTGATCTAAAAGTTTAAAATTTTTGAAAATGATCCCAAAATTTTAACAATGAATCATTTTAATACTCCATTCAAACAAATGAATTTAAAAATCAATGAATTTTCAATTGAATCATTTGAATTATTTAAAGTTTTTAATTCCTTAACAATATTTTGTTACCTCATCCAAACACACTTTTAAACTTTGCAATTTACTATAGATTTTATTGAAGCACTTTCGCAAGTAAAATTAGTTGCTTATGATATTTATGTTCTTGGGCGAGCATCGCAAGGAGATTAAATATGGCTTGTTTGTTGAGTTTGTTAATAAAAATGAAAGCAAATAAAATAATCAAACTATATTTAAAGAGAATGTTGAGGTTATTAGTGAGTATAACGGTCAACCCAAACTTGATGAGAATATTGGTGTCATGGATAAAAAATAATATACCAACAAATGATGCAAGAAATAAGGTTTTTCATGGTGAAGGCCATCAACCTTGACTATTGAAGTCTAGGAGCCTAGTGAAGATTTATCCAAGAAGATTGGTGGCATAATGTAGATGAAATGAGGTGTCTCTGTGGATGATGATATTAGGGGGTCAATGATGACACCCCATATTTTGTATGAGTCTTTGCAACTTAATATTTGGTTGGTGAATGTTATAAGTATGAGACGCAATCTAAGAGAAGTGAATTATATTTGTTGGATTTTTCTTGATTTTATGAAAAGTTTCTTATCTTTTAATTCTGTCGGAAACAAGTTATTGGTGTTGTACCCCAAAATTTAACCAACCATTTTCTTGTACTTGGCTTATGTTTCATTTCATTTTAGCATTTACATTTGCATAGCATTGTTCTTAACAGGGGATCAAGAGAGGTGTGTCATTCAAGAGAAGAGTCTCATTTGATCTCAAGCTCAGGCAAGAGTGTTTACCATCATCATGAAGTTGTCAAAACTCCTTGAAAGGAAGGATTGATGTGTGTTGTTTGTCTCCTATCTTGGGGGTCAACATAGGATCATCAAGGGTTCATAAGATCATTGTTGTGTATAGAATGTGTTTGAGAAGCTCATTGAGTTCTTTGAATGTCATTGTGGAGCTTGTCCAGACTTTTATTTCATCTGCAAGAGGTCATAGTCAAAGAATGTGAATCTAGGGTTCATCTGGTCAATTCAAGGTCATTTGTGAACTTGAGAGAGTTTAAGACTTAGCTCTAAGTCATTGAGGCTATGGGAAGTTATCTTGAGACATTTAGGATGTCATGTCAAGTTCAAATCAAGAAGAATCAAGAATTCAAGGAGATACTAAATTAGGGTTTCAGAGGATCTCAGTGTAAAATCCTCTTATTTAGTGCCTAACTTGAAGGACAATTTACCATATGATACAAGTTCAATCTCATTTTCTTGCAAACATGAAACTTATAGGGCATGTTCTTAGATTTATTTTGAGTGCTAGAACTTATTCATTGAGTGTGTAAAGCTCAAGTTATGATGCCAACAAGTTAGAGGTCTCATATGAACTTATTTTTGGTCAACTAAAAATCAACTCACTTCCAAAGCATTTTTGACCTAGAAGAAAGTCTCTCCTCAACTTTAAGTGAACATAAAAGTTGTTCCTCATGATCTTAGTTTTCCAAAAAGTCCTATAAGTCCTCTTTGTCATCTGTGGAGCTCAAGTTATGATCTTGGCAAGGCAAAGGTATTTTGGGAAAGTTTCATTATAGGTCATTTGCTTCATAAGTCATTTTCATGAACTTATCTACCTCAAATGCAATTCCAACCAACATGAAAGTTGTTCATAAAGACCTCATTTACATCATTGGACTCAATATTCATGGAGATTATGGAATTATATGGCCATGTGGGAGGATTTTTAAAGGAAATTTTGACTTTTGGTCATTGCATGGAATTGGTGCATTATAGGTCTTATTTTGCACTATTTTTGAACTTTTCTACACCAATGTATGGTCATAATCAAGATTTCCACAATTGGACCAACACCAAATACATTGAGATGCCACTTTTTCAAGTTTCTTCATTAGAAAGTTTTCACTTCAAACTTGAGATATGGATCAAATGTAAGGCCCAATTCAATTCAGATCAATTGTACATTCTATACACTTCCAATTGATGATCTCATGTGGTGCAAAAAGGGAAATATGCGTATGCATGAAGAATATTTTTCATTTTGGACATTTCTTAAAATCACTCTAAACAGCCAACATGGGCCTGCATGGGGTGTCAATACCCATCATATATAAGCTTTTTGTTTGCCCTAAACCATCAGAACAACTTGTTTGCGTGAAAGGAGAGCAGAGAGAATTCAAATTTTCCAAACACTTTCCATTTTTGAATCTGAGTTTTCTCTCAAAATCAACCTCAATTGAAGCTTGCATTCTCTTCCTGGGAGCATAAGGAGTGATTTGGAAGCAAGTACTTGGAGTTTGCGTGCTTGTGAAGAACCAACGGAGTTACTCCTTTAAGTAAGTTTTCACTTCCATTTCCTCTCATTCTAGGCACATATTTAGGGCATTTTAGGTTGCATCTGAAGCCCTACGTGAAGTAGGCCATGTTTGGTATGATTTGATAGTCGTTCCTCTGAATTTTAGAGTGTGCATCTCAAACTTTGGATCTTCGATTCTCTTTGGTTTGTAGTTGTTTTGATGTTTGGTTTGTGGATTTGGAACCTTTGCAATGAGATCTTTAGTCTGGTACCAGTTTGGGGAATTTCTGTGGAGATTTTTCCCCTGAGCTCCGGTGAGCTCACCGGAGAAGACGACCGAAGCCCTAGCTCTAGCATCTGGTTCATTTCCAGTCATATCTAACTTAGCTTGTTTGAATGTTTGACTTGGCTTGCGTGTTTTTGATTGATTGGCTTGACCAGGCTTGTGTGGTGCGTTGACTACACGTCACTTAAGTGAAACGCATCGTTTCACTTAAGTCTGAGCTTTGGGCCAGCTTGGGCTTGTTGTGTTATTCACACCCCCTTTGTTTAAGGGCCCGTTCCAATTTAGCCTGCGCGCAGTTCATTTCTGTTTTATGCACCTCCTTTCCATTTCCATTGTTTTTTATTTTGATTTTATTTTCTGTTTTGATTTTCAATTATTAAAAATATCTTCAATTGTCCAAAAATTAAATAAAAATTGTTTTCAAACATTTCAAAACCTTATTTAATTTTTCATAATTTTTAATTATGTTTTTATTTTATTTTGCAATTTTATTTTAATTTTTCAAAGTGAGGTGTTTTTAATATTATTCTTGTTTGATCATCCATACTTGAACTACCATTTGATATCATTG